TTTATTTATTTGAGAGAGAGAATGAGAGACAGAGAGCATGAGAGGGAGGAGGGTGAGAAGGAGAAGCAGACTCCCTGCTGAGCAGGGAGCCCGATCAGTCTTGTTTTTTTCACTAGAGTTTAAGCCCTTTGAGGCCAGGCCCTGTGGCCTCCGCATCCTCCATATCTGCAGAGTCTCTCTGGCAGAGCACACAGTATGAATGAGGTCAATCAAAGTCCTGAGGAGTGAAGAATTCTCTCTTTACCTATTTGAACAAGGGAGGCCCTTGGAGTGTCTGCTTCTGGTCAGCACTCTAACCAGCAATTGAGGGATTTCTGCCCAGGATGCCTAACCCTATGGCCTTCCCGATGAGAGGAGGGATAGCTATGCCGTCAGGGGCCCAGACACCGGATTCAGACAGATCCTTGCTCAGCCCCTTCCTGGCTAGGTGACCTTAGACAAGTCACTGAACCCTTCGGATCTTTCCTCCCCTGTAGAATGCAGACAGCACCAGTCCCTACCTTACAGGCTGCTGTGAGGATCAATGGGGTAATGGGCTTAGGCTTAGGTGTTTCATGAGGTTCCAGGGTTACACAGGTTTGAACGCTGCCTTAGGAAAGATAAAGGAGTAAGATTTGTGAGCATCTCTCCAGCAGACCCTGGCGGAGGCAGTGTATGCATGGGGTGGCTATCTCGGGGTGGGTGGGGGGAGGAGGATGCCGCCGTGTAGAGTACGAAGCTCTTCACCTCTCCAAGTCAAACGCTGCCACGTCTGTCCCTCTCACTTTCCCTCCCGAGTTTACCTCCAAATAGTAGACTATGGGAGAAAAGATCAAATAAAACGTTCACCGATTGAGCACACGTCCATCACTGGGTTGTCGCGGGTCGCAGGGCACGTATCTCCAGGCCCCGCCCCTCCTCGCCCCTCCCCGCCGCCGCGGGACTGCTCATTGGCCCGCGCTGCGTGACGTTACGCGCGGGTTTTTAAGGCGGAGTCCCGGGGACCGCTCCGCAGTGGCAGCAGCGCCGGCGGTGGTGGCGGCTGTGGCACGCGCTGGGGGCGGGCGTGGAGTTTCGCGTGGAGGCTCGGGTGGCTGGCCTGGGGAGAGTGCTGCTGCCGGAAGGTAAAGGGGCTGTTCAGGCGGAGCTGTGGTGGCTCCGGTGCGGGGACCTGGGGAGCTGGAGTCGGAGATCCGGGCAAGGCGAAGTGTCACGGGACGGTGGGAAGGGGGTCGCGGTGTTAAGGAGGGGCGTGTCAACCGCTTGGGGATGTGGAGGGCAGGCGGGAGCGGGCCTTACTCTCCCGTCTGAGCGCCCGTGCCCTAACTTAATTGGGGGCCGCTGCCCGACCTGCTCCTTCCTGTGAGGATTCTCGCGTGGGGAATGAGGGTCTCTGCGTCTGCGACCGCGCCACGAGCTCGGAGAAGAGGCGCGGGAAGCCGACCATCTCCAGATCAAGGCCTCACCCCCCAACCTGTGTCCAGGACCCGGGGGTCTCTAGATCTCGTCTCCCCTGAAAGCGGGGAGAGCCTCTGTTACACTTGGAGCTGTTTAAAAAACAAAACAAAAACTGGAATTTTAAAAAGGAAGGATGGGCGACTGATTTAGGACAGGATCGAGAAGTTGCACATTGCATGTTTATTTTTAAACGTCTCCTTTTTTCTCCCATGACTTTTTCCCGTTCAGATAACCCAGCAGCGGTCCCCAAAGCCTGCAGTTCAAGGCCACCTTCCTGCCTCTCCTGTGTGCCCCCTGACCTGCACCTTAGCTGGAGCTCACCATGGGGAACCACTTGACTGAGATGGCTCCCACTGCCTCCTCTTTCTTGCCCCACTTTCAGGCCCTGCATGTCGTGGTCGTTGGGCTGGACTCTGCTGGAAAGACCTCGCTCCTTTACCGCCTCAAGTTCAAGGAGTTTGTCCAGAGCGTACCCACCAAAGGCTTCAACACAGAGAAGATCCGGGTGCCCCTGGGAGGGTCCCGTGGCATCACCTTCCAAGTGTGGGATGTCGGGGGGCAAGAGAAGCTGCGACCACTGTGGCGCTCCTACACGCGTCGGACAGACGGGCTGGTGTTTGTGGTGGATGCTGCCGAGGCTGAGCGCCTGGAGGAGGCCAAGGTGGAGCTACACCGAATCAGTCGGGCTTCGGACAACCAGGGCGTGCCTGTGCTGGTGCTGGCCAACAAGCAGGATCAGCCTGGGGCACTGAGCGCGGCAGAGGTTGAGAAGAGGCTCTCGGTCCGAGAGCTTGCAGCGGCCACACTCACCCACGTGCAGGGCTGTAGTGCTGTGGATGGGCTGGGCCTGCAGCCGGGCCTGGAGCGCCTGTATGAGATGATCCTCAAGAGGAAGAAGGCAGCCCGGGTAGGCAAGAAGAGACGGTGACCCGAGGCGGTCCCCTCCTCACCAGTAGGGGTCTATACACCTGGACAGCCAGGCAGAGCCTGTGGCCCCTCCCTCAGCTCTGGGGTGCAGGACCTGTCCGCCTCAATGAAGGACCAAGGAGCACACTGGGGGTCCTGTTCTGGTGCAGCATTGGGGAGGCGAGGGGAGATGGGATGTCTTCTCCTCTCCCTCCCTCATCCTCACCTCTGGAGAAAAGGGGGCTGCAGGACTGGGGAGGCTTAAATGTAAGCCCTGACTCTACCTCGACCCTGTTTCTTCTTTTCTTCTCTGGCTTGTTGATGAGATGGAGCAAAAGAAGGTGTTTGGAGAATGCATTTGGGATGAACGAGGACTGTCTCCCCACCTCCACCCCCCCCAGCTGGGGTGTCCCCCAGGCTGCTTTTCTAAGGATGCTAGTCACAATAGTCTTTATTTTTGTGTCTGTGTGAAAGTGCCAGGAACCCTTCTCCACATTTGTAGATCCACAACTGTTTTTATAAGCCGTGTGTGTCCTCTGTAGTATTATTAAGTATTTTTTAGCATTTGCCTATAAGTTATTAAAGACTGATGATACTGTAGCTCTGACCTTGGTCTGGCATTTTCTTACCCAGCCCCAGGAGTAGTCCCAGATTTCTGTATGGGTGGCAGGAATGGGTGGGGGGGAGTTTTATCTTGAAGCTGAATTTGCAAAGGAAACACGGGATGGCTGGTGGAAATTACAGATGGAGTTGAAATTGCCCTCTCCCAAGCTATTACCTGATTTCTGCAGGTTTTTTGGGGGGGTGTCCCTTCTTTCTCCTGCTTCCTCCCCCTCTCTCCTCATCCCCTGGCTCTTACTTGCCCCTCATACCAGCTGGTCCTTGGGGACACTTTCCTAGGTTTATATAGGTAAGTCCTCAAGGAGTCATTCTGTTCTCATCCTCCCCCACTCCTTGGCACTCAGGCTGATCTGTTTTTTTTTCCACCTTGGGGGATCCTGTGAGTATGGAAAGTAATTCCTTCCTGGCTTTCAGCCATCTCCGTGTGCTCAATCCTGCTGACTGCAGCTCACCGGCAGCAGCGGCAGGGGCTGGTGCTGGGGAGGTCTGGGCTGGATTGAGCCAGCCCGGCCCTGGTGACTAAGCTGTGAGTTGTCCAGCTCTGGGAATGGTGGCTGTTCCCACAAGAGGGGCTGTAATAGTAGTCGCGGTTTGTGCCTGGTGGGAGTGTGGACTACTAGACATCCACTACCCCCTCCAGGGGAGGAGGGGGAAGGTGTAGGCCACCAATAGCAGTAATAAGAATAAAATGCTAGGGGCGCCTGGGTGGCTCAGTTGGTTAGGCATCTGCCTTTAGCTCAGGTCATGATCCCAGGGTCTGGGATCCAGCCCCACATGGGCTCCCCGCTTAGCAGGGAGTCTGCTTCTCCCTCTCCCTTTGCTCCTCCCCCTGCTTATGCTCTCTCTCTGAAATAAATAAAATCTTTAAAAAAAAAAAAGAATAAAATGCTAATGTTGTGAGGTCCAGAGGGCCTCTGCCCAGACTTTCAAGTCTGCTCCCTCCACCGACACCCAGGGCCAGCTGAGTCTGAGATGATGAAAAATCAGATCCTCCTAATCTGGGTGGGAGTAGTGGGTAAAAACCAAGCACAATTCTTTCCATCCCTCAGCCCCCCAGTCCCACCCCTACCCTTTGTGCAAACATGGGATCCAGAGCAGGTTCAGAGTCCCCACTCCAGAATCGAATAAAGGACCTGGGGAGGGAGAGAAGGTGCCCGCAATCCTGCCCTGGGGGACTTCCTAAGGAACTTGCTTCTTCCTAGCTAGAGTCAGCAGAAGCTGAGTTTTGCTGTGGAGTCTGGGCTGGTTCATATTTGTCCCCCTTCATGGCTGGCAGGATGCGGGTAGGTATGCATCGATCTGGAAGGGTGCCCAAGTGTGCGTCAGTGTGGGGCCTGCTTGACAGAGCTGCTGGGCTGGTTCTGCTGGGGACACGTGCTACCTGGCCCCCCTCTACAAACACCTGTGACTCATCTCACTCAGTCCTCAGGGCAGAGTCCTCTTCTGCCTAGAACAGGCTGGGGAGGACTTGGCTAGAAGGGCCTCTGTCCTGCTGGGAGATATTTCCTCCTCACTCCACCCCAATAATGCCCTTTTGTCTCAGAATCTCCAAGGACATGTTTTCTCCATTTCTGGTCACCTGGGGGACTGAGGTCTCCAGATTGGAAGAAGAGCACACCCCCTCCCCCTGCAGAGGGGCCTCCATGGGGCCAGCTCCTGGTTCTGGCTCTGCCAAGTACCTGACCTCCCTCCTGTTAGAATCGTCTTCTGCTCCCCCAGACTCCAACCCTGGGCAGGAACCATGGTCCACAGGAGACTGCCAATGTCCCAGCTCTTCCCCACATTCCTCTGGCCTGACCAGCTGGTGGGGGTGGAGGAAGGGCTGTTGGCAGCCAGAGAGTGAGTTGGAGAAGCCAACTGCTTTGAAGGGGTTGTGGGGAGAGGGGAGCCCTGAAAGATTCTGGTAAGAAAGCTACATTCTGGCTGGGTGGGGATCAGGAGCTTTGGAATAATCCTCCTGCCTCGGTTCATCCCGCCACAGGGATTCTTCTTCTTTTTTTCAAGATTTATTTATTTATTTAAGAGGGGGAGGGGCAGAGGGAGAGAATCTTTCAAGCCAACTTCCCCTGAGGACGGAGCCCCGGGTGGGGCTCGATCTCAGGACCCTGAGATCATGACCTGAGCCAAAACCAAGCTTCAGACACTTTTTTTTTTAAAGATTTTATTTATTTATTTGAGAGAGAGAATGAGAGAGAGAGAAAGAGAGCACATGAGAAGGGGGAGGGTCAGAGGGAAAAGCAGACTCCCTGCTGAGCAGGGAGCCAGATGCGGGACTCATCCTATGCGGGGACTCCAGGATCATGACTTGAGCTGAAGGCAGTTGCTTAACCAACTGAGCCACCCAGGTGCCCCCAAGATTCAGACATTTAACCAACTGAGTCACCTGGGCGCCCCTGCCCCAGGGATTCTGCATGCTGAGCTCTGGCCACAGGCTTGGAATGGGGGTGGGATCAGGGTTGGAGGTAGGCTGTATTTTCCTTGTCCTGGCTTCTTTATCAAGTAGAATTTCTTTGAGGCCCTGAGATGGATGTTGAGGAGATGCTGAGGGCAGAGGGTCTCAGGGGGCCAGGAGTGGTTGTTAGGGGCTGGTGGTGGGGGGCTGTGGGTAGGGTGGAAGGCTCCCTCTGAGCTGCCCTTCTCCCACTAGCCACCTCCTCTCCTTGCACAAGCTGGATGGTAACATCCAGGTGGACCGCGCTTCCCCGGGGGGGCCTTGCCCATCCCCCAGCAAAGATGGCAGTGGTCCCTCCCCACCTCTGCCCTCTCCAGTTGTCCTGTGCTGAGAGTGCTCCAGGCAGAGAGATAACAAAGAGGAAGGGAAGAAGTCTCTAAGGCCCAGAGGAGGCAGCAACTTGCTCAAGAACATGTAGCTACTTAGTGGCACATCCAGATCCTTCCTCCCAGGCTGGCTTTTTGTACTCCCAGGGCCAGACAGATAGGAGATGGGCCACAAGTCTAGCAACTCAGAGCTCCCACCGCCCCTTCCCTCCCTCCTTCCCTCCCTGCATCCCCTCCCTGATTAGTTCAAAGGCCAGCTTTCCGCTCCCCTGCTCCCCTTCCTGAGGAGTTGGAGCTTTATCTTTGAAGTCCAGAACTCTGGCCTCAAATCTGGCCAGAAGTCCCCACCCTCCTCTCCTACTGACCACATGTCATCCCAAGTCTTGCTTGAGATGGACTCCTCCACAGGGGCCTGGGAAGCACAGACTTCCACTGAGGCACCAGGGCGTGCATGGGACAGTGTGTTCTTCAAAACAGGCCTTTTGTGAATGGAGGCCAGTGGGAGCAGAGGGAGTGAAGAGAGTAAGGGAGGCCCAGACCAGCACTGGGCTGTAAAGGCTGGGGCCACACATCGCTTCCAAGGCCATCAGCTGGGGAGTTTGTGGGTGGGTGTCATGGGACCTCCTCCCCTGGCCAAACCAGAGGAGGGGATTTGTTCTTCCTTTACAAAAAAAAAAGTGTTTTCTTTTTTTCTGTCCACGCCCCCCCCCCCCCGCCTGATAACAAAAGTAACAGATGTTTTTGTAAAGAAACTTAGAAAATGGAGAACCCCATAATCTAAATTTCCGAGCTTGCTAAATGTCGGGGACAGGTTTTTATATATAATCTTTCAGATATTTTTTTTCTCTGCATATACAAAAGAGGTATGTATTAATATCCAACACACAGGGAATTATAGGAGGCATATGGTGGTAGAGTTTTGCTTTTCTCATTTATATCTTGGGCATTATTCAATGATGGGACATATGGGTTTTTCTTGTTCTTTTTGATGACCACGTGAGATTCCACTGTCTGAATATGCCATCATTTCTTAATTAAATCCTCTGTTAAATCCACAGTGTGTCCACAGCGATGACCTCCTTGCACATATTTCTTCGGCATGTAATCATTGTGTCAAAGGGTATATGTATTTCACATTTTCATAGATGCTGCCAAAATGTGTGTGTAGAGAGGGTTTGGGGTGAAGGAACTTTAATCCAGCCTTCTCATCCTCCATCCCCAGATTTAAGGGGCGTCTTCAAGCCAAGGTATGTCTGTGGCGGGGGGTAGACATTATAGTGCCCTTGCGTTCGGGGAGGTAAGAGAATCTCCAGCCACTTGGCAGAAGATTTGCAGGCATGGGAGGGAGCTTGGGCTGATTTTCCTGGTCTGGGAATTGAACCGCTTGGGGCTGCCTGGCTGATGGTGGAGGTGGGCAGATGGTGAGGACTCCCTAAGCACCCAGCTTCTCACAGACGTCAGGCAGAGTGGGCGAAACATCTCCGGAAATAAATCCCAGCAGCTCAGGGAGGGAGCCTGGCTGAGACACAGAGTGCATGCTCCGAAGGGAACATGGAGAGGAGCTCTTCAGTCTGAAGAAGGGCAGCTGAGACCCTGGACTTTCCCCAGGGTGACCCCCATTCTTCTAGCAAGGTCCCCCCACCAGCTGCTCTCGAGCATGGACTCCTGGAACAGGAAGCAGAAGCCCAACGTATTAGATACCTCGGCCACTCTGGGCTGTGTGGGGTACCACTTCTCTGTTCATTCTGGCCCCTGGGCTAATCTTGGGTCCGTGCCCCTGCAGAATGGGGTGGGGAAGGCAGGAGGGCTTATCTCTTGAGCACCTCCCACCCCCTCCTATGAAATCTGGTGAGCAGTTTGGTGGAGTTGTACAGGGATGACAGCTGGGTTTTAAAGATTGCTGAGAGTGAGGTTTTGTGCTTTTGATTGTGTTTGTTTTTGCAAGATTATCCATTCCTTTCCATTCCAGAGGCTGACTCTTATCCTTAGGGAGTGAGACGGCAGAACTGCTTACTCACTCTCTGGAACTCTCCCAGGCTGACGTGGGGAGGGACAGAGCCACCCGTCTGACCAGGCAGCACCTCAGAAAGAACCCCACAATTGGCCTCAGTTTACACATCTGTAAAGTGAGGGGGTTGAGTAGACAATGTTGGATCTTTTCTGGTTCACTTTCTATGGTTCTCAGTACAAGGTGGGCATGGGGAACTC